AAAAAAAAAAAAAAAAAAAAAAAAAAAAAAAAAAAAGTCATAAATAGGGCTACATTAACACATTCCTCTTGGCATCTTTTCCAAGGGTGTTGAAACCTTAATACTCTGGCCAACCTTAAGGTCAGTCCTTAACATAAGAGAAGTATCTTACCCTGGAAAACTCAAGACATTTAGCAGGTCTCACCAGCTGCTGCTTGATCTCCACTTAGTGAAACATATGGAGGCAAGTTCCCTTCTGTTTCAGACCCTGGGAGTCAAAGGACTTTTCCATCCAGGGGAACGAAAATGGAAGTAATGCAACTGAAGATGCAATGTGCGATTTGAGATCCATTTGGATATCATTCCTCAGGCCCTGTTGAGTTTACGAAGTTTGAATTTTCCCCACTTATGTTACCTCTCCCTTTCACTGAATGCATTACTACCACAAACTAAATTCAGGTTTGGAGGTCCAGTTTCAGATGATCAACAATACCCTTGACCCTTTGAGAATTGAACACTTAGTCACAAAGACATCCAATCAAAAAAATACCAAATTACATTGCTCGAGTTCTTCAGGAGGTAACAATGATCCAGAGGAAGGAGAGTCTGGTCAAGGTTCCCTTTGCCCCCAAAACCCCACACCCCCCACCCCTTTCAAGTAAGAAGGGGGCTGCAGCTACTCATTCTTCTTGCTGTCATCTGTGGTGGTTAGGACCTTCCTCCTCTGGCAGAGCATGTGGAAATAAAGCTGTGGAAAGACTGATTCACAAAAACGGAATTAGGAATGTAGCAACAGGAAGAGGCCATTGTACCCCTTTAGCTTATTTCATCACTCAATTAGCTCATGTCTGATCTGTGAACTAACTTCATTCCTTGATTCCTTCTGTTAACTGGAGTAAATTGATCTCCGACTTAAGATTAACAAGTTATCTAGCATTATCTGTGAAGAGGATTCAGAATTTAAATACTACCCTTTGTCCATATAAATCAGTGTTCCCTAAATTTGAGGAGATGGTCAACTTCTTTAAAACACTCCAAGTACAGCACACTTCATTTTACATTTCTCCTGCTGTCAATTGGGGGTTAATATCAATTGTTTGGCTAAGTGGAAGGTATTCTTAAAGAAGGATAGCAATGACCTTCATGCACAAGTTACTTTAGACTCCCTATAAGAGCTCTACTCAGTTATCCTCTTGCAGTTTATGCATTTAAACAGCTGTTTTCTGTTTGAAGCTTTACTCACCAATATTTTATGCCCTCTTTGCTTCCTCAGTTTTCTTGGTAATTTCACCTGCACTTTTTATACACATCTTTATATTGCCTGCAGTATGAGGCCTTGATACGTCACGACTGCTCTCTTTCCCTTACCATCTCCTTTAAGCCCGAGCTGTGCACAAGTGGTGGCGGTGGCAGCATCGCTGGTTCTGCATACACTAGACCAAGCCCTTTCCTTTGCTCGCTCTGAACCCTATTACTTCGTAGCCTCTTTCCGCATTCTATTATTCTGTGAAACAAGTTTGCAATGCAACTGTATACCCAGCTTAATAGCTAAATCTATAGAACATGAGACTAGAAGTAGGCAATTCTGTCAAACGAGTTTGCTTCAACAAAGATCATGGCTGATCTGACAATCCTCAATTCCACTTTCCAGCCTCTTCACCCCATAACCCTCGGTTCCCACACTGATTAAAAATCCATTCGTCTCAGCCTTAACAACCCAGCCTGACAGACCTGTGATAAAGGATTTTCACAGATCACTACCCTCAATTTCTCTGTTTTGAAGGAGTGATTCCTTACTTTGAAATGATGCCCTCTGGTCCTAGACTCTCCCACAAGAGGGAAATAATCTCTCTGCATCTACTGTTAAGCCCCCTACAAGCTTTGTATATTTTAAATAAGGTCTCTTCTCACTCTCCTAACTCAAATGGGTACAGGCGCAACCTACTCAAAGCCCACAATACCTGGGATTAACCCAGTGAACCTTCTTTGGACTGCCTCCAATACCAGTACATCTTTTCTTTGTTAAGGCAACTAAAACTATTCAGTATTCCAGCTGTGGTCTGACTAGCTCCTTGTCTAGTCTTAGCAAGAGCTCCCTATTTTCATACTCCATTCTTGAAATAAAGGCCAACATTCAATTTGCCTTCCCTATCGTCTGAACTTGAATGCCAGTTTTTTGTGAATCATGGATGAGGACTCAAATCCCTGTGCTGTAGCTTTCTGCAGTCTTTCTCCATTTAAATAATGTTCAGCTCTTCTATTCTTTCTGCTGAAGTACATAACTTCACATTTTCCTGCATTATATTCCATCTGCCAAGTTTTTGACATTGTGGAGCACAGTAAATGAGCAAGCTGATAACTTACTTGGAATGTAGGAAATCATGACCAGGATCAGGACTGTGTAATAGTCAAAGGAAATATTAAACTTGTTTGGCAGGGTCACAGAATACAAGCCAGTCCTTCGAACATGAGGCAGGGCTGCATATATTGTAAGTAGCTCTCCAGTGACTCCCATTGGATACAGTACAATAAACAGCGTGTACCTAGATGGGTGGGAATAAGAGGGTTTTTACACAGAACCTTCAATTGATCTTTCCTTAAAGAATTGTACATGCCCAAAATTTCAGGGTTAGGGCCCACACCGGCAGTGGAGGTGGGACACAGTCTGCTCTCACCCCTGTTAGGTCTGCCACCGTTTACTCCGATCCCAACATTAGGTTTCATACACCACACAGACACACCCTCACAGAAGTGGTGAATGGAAGCTGATAGAAATGTAGCAAATCTCCAGATAGGTTTGCATTTTCTGTGGTGTGATGGATACAAGCATTCTTGTCATGTACACGAGGTCCCAATGCAGCCCTCCCAGACGAATGCAGATGATTCCGTCTCATTATTTCATCAAGCAGCAGGGGAGATCTCCCACTGATCTGACCAATGATTATCCCTCTTTCAAACAAATAGTCATCATAGAAACAATGAAAGCTGATTGGCATAGAACATCTCATTGCTGTTTGTGGTAGCTTACTATTGTGCAAATTAGCAGCTGTAATTCCTACATTGCTATAGTAGCCACACTTTAAAAAAGTGCTTCAGTGACTGTCATGTGCTTTGGGGCATAGAAAGATTGTCAGCTTTGCTGTTTGAGGGCAAGCTTTTTTTTGACATGCTTGCTGAGTCTCGGGTTTTGGGACTGTTGATCTGACAGCCTGGGAACAGACAACTTACAAGGTACTGCAAAGAATTTACAGCATAGACTCAAGCCATTTGGCTAAACAGATCTGAGCCTCCTCTCACCGTTCTCCATCTCACCTCAAGATATTTAACAAGACAGGAACGTAAAAGTAGACCATTAGGCCCATCAAGCCTGCTCTACAATTTAATACAATCATTGTTGATCGAACACTTCAATGCCTTTTACATCCCTCATCCCCATAACCTTTTATGCCATTACTAAATCAGAAATATATATTCTCTGCTTTAAACATAGTCAATGACAGCCTTCACAGCTCTGAGGTAGAGAACTTCAAAGATTCAAAAT